TTTTTTAAATAAAACAACTCTTTTAATATATTATCTGGCCCTTATTTTAGTAGTATACTTATCTCCTCCACCTTCAAATTATATGTTTTGTTTAAACGTTTCTTTTGTGCATCAATAGGTTTTATACAACTGTATACTAAAACTAAAGTAATTAAAACAATATATATTTTATTAAGTTTTATTTATTCATTCATTTTTAACAATTTTTCACGCAATATTTTATCAACAATTCGTTCAATTTCTTTAATACGTCTTTGAAATCGTTGTCTATCAATTACCGCCTCTAACCATTCCCGTCCACTTCTTGCTCTTTTATGTACATCATCACACTCTACTTCATAAATCTCAATCTCTTCCTTAAATCGAACCGATTTCATATTTATTCCAGTTAAAACACGTCATACATTGTATTATAGTCAACTTTATTTTATTGCATTTTAAATTTCTATTTTCATTTGCATTTCTATTTGCATACACTGTCAATAAATCAAGGTGCGGCGAAGATTCGAGAAAATAAAATGCATAATATATTATTTGCATTGTATAACAACTTTATATTCGTCTAATTACGTATAAACGTTTAAGTTATTGTTGTTGTTGTGCAACACACATTCTAACATTTTTCAAGGTTGTTCCCGATGGTATAAACGGTTAAAATTTTCATATAGAAGTCAGTTGTTACCTTCTACTACTGCTCACACCGCTCGCTCACGTTATAAAGCAACTCAAGCTAGTATGTCACGTTTAAATCAGTTATAGAGCAGTATCAATTTGCCCCGAAGAAGAACATATCTGAATTAGAAGTGAATAAATTATATGTGATTTAAGTGATCTTTGCCAATATGCCTGCATGGTTTCGTTCTCAGATTGACAATATACATTTGGTGGCCTTAGTTTATGAAAAAGATGTTAAACAAGTTCGATTTGATAAAGTGTTGAATGTTATTGTAAATGACTTAAACACATTAGAATTAATCGGCGTTGATGTTGAACTAAACGAGAAAAATATATCTGTAAAGGGTAGCATTTTAACAATTGTTGGTGATAACTTAGGAAATCATCATATCGGCGGTTTAAATGAAAATTTTAGTTTATCATCATATTTCTGTAGATTTTGTCACATTAACAATATAAAAAACAGCAGTGACATAAAGAAACGATATCAAAAAAGAACTCGTGAGTCATATGAATTTGATGTTGACATGGCCTCTTTAACACAATCATCCCAGAGAGGAATTAAATCAAATTCAATACTCAATTCTTTAAGAGTTTACCATGTAATGAATCCAGGCTTAGCACCATGTATAGCACATGATGTTTTTGAGGGAATTTTGAAGGTAGATTTAGCACATGCTCTTGACATTGTAGAAGCTCAAAATTTATTATCCTTCGAAGATTTAAATAAACGACTTCAGACTTTGTCATTTGAAGGTGAATCAAAAATCCACTTTCCTTTAATTAAGAAAAAGAAACAATCTGTCGGGATCTGCATATCAAAACATGATGTTTATAATTATTATAATACCTTTTGTATTATCAATAAACGAACCAAATTACGCGTGGGAATTAATTTTGTTATTAAGAAAGATTGTACTTTTACTTCTAGCATTTAAATTATCGACAAACCAAGTGGCTTATCTAAAATCTTTAATTGATGATTATATAGATTTAAAGTGCAAAATTTTACCACAAATTCCATTTAAACCTAAACAACATTTCATAACCCATTATCCAGAACTATTTCTTCATTTTGGTCCACTTCGGCACTTGTGGACTTTGCGTTTCGAGCATAAACATCAATACTTTAAAAATGTAGTAAGACATTCTAATTGTTTCAAAAACCTCTTAAAAACTTTATCATATCGACACCAGCTTTTACAGAGTTTAAATATTGCACAAAACAAGCTGTATAATTCAGAATTTATTACTGAAAGTATTGAAATGTGCACAGAAAAATATTCCTCTGTACACTCATACCTTATGTCAATTAATGTTATTGATAGTACTGAGTATTTCATAACAGATCAGGTATTATACAGAGGAATTATATATGCGAAAAATTTTGTAATTTGTTACGGGCAAAATGATGTTGGCGATTATTTATTGTGTAAAATTAATAATATACTATTAAATTTTAAATTGAGCACATGTACTTTCATTGGAACTTCAGTTGTTGTATCGTCTGATCCCATTAGTGGATTATATTTCGCTAATAATAATGTTTCTGATAAATTAGTATACATAAATGTAATGTCTTTGATCTGCATAGAGCCTCTTTTGGTGCAAAAAGTTGGTAATTACCATCAGTACTCTTTTAGGTCTGCACCACTTGAACTATAACTATCACACACATTACATTGTATTATACCGCTTAAAAATGACGCTGTTTAAAGTATGGGATTCGACACGTAATAAACGGTTTATAGTAATGGTTCCTGATGGAGAGGATCTGTATGAACAAATAGTACTTAGAGGTAAACATTATTTCAATAATTTTATATTGCGTATATTTTGTTACTTCCTATAGTATAAAAAATTATTATTTCTTAGCTTCTACCAAATTACAAATAAATGGGGTATCGTTAGTGCTAGAAGAAGATGGTACAGTGATTGATGATACTAACGTACTCCGTGAGTTAAAGTCTGAACAAACACTTTTGCTCCTAACTGCCAACGAGAAATGAACGAAGCATTTAAATTTGACAACGACAGAATCAAGAACGTCAGGATTTAGTACGCCGACATCTGCTACATCTTCAATGCTATTATTTAATATTGAAAGTAGTGATAATATTGCAAATCTGAATGTTGAAAATGATAACACTGAAATTAATAATATTGAAATTAATAGTATTGAAATTAATGATATTGAAAATGAAATGAATGTAATGAATACTGAAACATTATCTAATAGAAACGAAGAACTCGACTGGACTAGATTCCAAATACATTATCACAAGTTCCCAGCTAACTACTTACATTTATGTGAACAGGGGACAAAACACAAACAAATTATTACAGATATGGTCCACATAATTGTAAATGAATTAAGAACCATAGACACCCAACCACCGATGCGTACACTCAAAAATATAGCTAGAGAAATATCGCAAAAGTATCCTAAAACTTTCTGCGACGTAGACGATGACGGTGCAGTGTTAGGGGATGGGTCCGCAAGTTTATTTTTCAAATTACATGAACGGGTACAGTATTTAAGGACTGATAATACACAAACGGTCAAATAATAGTGTAGAACCAACAACTACAAAAAAATTTTTAAAAAAGAAAACTTCTGCACAGGCAGGATGCTCACAATGGGCACCTGTTGTAGTTAACCACAGTGAAAACATCAATTATATTGATAGATTGAATGTTTTGCATCGATCAAAAATAGAAAATGATGAATTTTTTAATTTATTAGACAAGGCGTACGCAACACATCGTTTGTTTTTAAATAATATTGTTTCGCCGCCTTCCGTTGAAGATATTATTTCGAAGTATCCCGTGATTTTTAATAAAAAAGCGATTTATTGGCATTTTAAAAAGTTGACGGATGTGGACCTCCATAAGATATCAGAAGTTTTAAAAAATAAACAACAAAACATAATCAGTTTTGGTATTAAAAGTAAAATTATTCAATATAATGAACTAAATACGACAAATAATGATCGCTTAGCTTTAGAAATTATTGCGAAATATTTCAAAGACAAAATAGAGCACATTCTATATAAATTTGAGGTAAATAAAAATTTTATATATTTTGTAAAATTTACCTAAACTTTTATTATTTTTAGGAATACAACATAGAAGAAATTGAAAGCAGTATGATGATCTTAACGCCATGCGTTGCGGAGATAGGTATGAAAATAATTTTTCGTGTTTACAATTACACGACGAAACTCATGTTTTATCTGTTTAACTTCCTTATTCCTTTAGCTGGGAGATTCATAGTTTTCTTCGAAAAAAAACAAGTCGTGGAGGTGGATAATCTAATAGAGGCATTTGAGTTATGTTTTGGACTCTATTTCATACTAAATACACAGTATCCTAAAGTTATATCCGGATTATTAGAAACTATACAATGTTATTTTTTAAAAATTAACACAGAAAGAAGCTGTTCTGTAAGTACTAAAAAAAATAAAATGATATCCCTTCTAAAGAAATTGAATAGTCTATAAAAGATTTATAAACTAAATATATATTTTTGGTGTAAAGTCAATATGTATAAAATACTCTCGCTTTCTATATTTCTACTTTGGCAAAATACTTTTCTGTAATCGATACTCTAAAATCTCATTTTAGTCAGCTGTGCTGTCGAAATGGCAGATTAATATTAAAGCAGCTTCGCTTTACTGCCTTAATAACTTAATACTAAGTTTAGTTTATACTCTATAGTGTTTAAATTTGGGTAATTCCATTACTTTTATTTGATTAATTGTTATAGTTTTTTTAAATTAGTTTTAGCGCAATACTTTTTTTTTGGTATTCAGAAATTTAAATTCTGTTTCTGTTTCGTTTATAAATTAGTTTTAATAAAACACTTTATTTTTTGTTGTTGATAAAGTTACAATTCTGTTTCTCTTTCGTTTATATCGTGTAGATCGTGTAGTTGAAACAAATATAAGCGCAATACCTTTGTTTTTTGGTTTTCAGAAATTTAAATTCTGTATCTGTTTCGTTTATAAATTAGTTTTAGTAAAATACTTTATTTTTTGTTGTTCATAAAGTTACAATTATGTTTCTCTTTAGTTTATAGGTCGTGTAGTTGAAATAAATAACAGTAAACATAATATAAGTGTTTTATTTATGGAAACCTTGAAATGATGGGAGTAATACAATTGCATAATTGTAATTTTAAAAAGTGAATGTACAATGTTTTGTGTGAGAATACATTACAAAAATTGGAATCTTACAATCTGCCTTGTAATTTAACTACGTAATTTTACAATTCTATTTGAATTTTTACAATAAAAAGCCTAATACTACACTCTAAATAATGACAATTTACAATATTAGTAATATAATTTTACACTGTAAATTTACAATTGCAATGTAAATTTATGTTAGTAAAATAACAAAACAAAAATAACCAATCATCTCATTGTAATTTTCCCACATTTTTTTTTCAGTGTATGCACATTTCATCGTTTTGGATGGCTTCTTTCAAATATACATTTGAATGATAATAATATGTTGCCCCCTAGACAGAGCTCACAATTTGATAAACTCTATAAGGTTCGTCCTTTTCTAAATATGCTGAAAGAAAATTTTAAAAAATGCTTTTATCCTCAAGAGCATCTGTCTGTTGATGAGTCAATGATAAAATTTAAAGGCAGGTCTAGTTTGAAACGATACTTACCCAAAAAACCCGTGAAAAGGGGTTATAAGGTATGGATGCTTGCGGACGAATCTGGCTATTGCTTAGATTTTGATATTTATGTGGCCAAATTAGATAACAAGATCGAGAAAAATATAGGATTCAAAGTTGTTAAAACATTTACCACAGACCTAGTAAGTAAACATCACAAGATTTTTTTTGATAATTACTTCTCCAGTGTCCCACTCATGCAAGATCTTCTTGAAAATGGCATTAATGCTTGCGGAACCGTGAATATAACAAGAAAGTATCTTCCAAATTTTACTCCAGATAAAAAAATGAAAAGAGGTGACTGTGACTCTTTTTCTAACAATACTGGTTTATCGGTATATAAGTGGAAAGATAATAGATCCG